TCCATTTATTTATATCTTCTTTAATTTCTTTCAGCAACGTCTTGTAGTTTTTATTATACAAGTCTTTCACCTCCTTCCTTGGTTAAATTAATTTCTATGTGCTGATGGTATTGTGAATGAAATTGTTTTGTAAATTCATTTAAAAATTGCTTATTGTTCTTGTATAGAAATGCAACTGATTTTTGCATATTGACTTTGTATCCTGCTACTTTGCTAAATTTACTTATTAATTCTAACAGGTTTTTGTGGAATCTTGTTTTCAACATATGAGATCATATAATCTGTGAACAGAAATATTTTTACTTTTTCCAACTGGAGTGTCTTTTATTTTCTTTGCTTGATTTCTCTGGCTATAACTCCCAGGATAATGTTGAACAGAAGTAGCAAAAGTAGGCATTTTTGTCTTGTTGCCTTGTTCCCAATCTTAGAGGACAATGTTTCAGCTTATCACCATTGTTAAGTAGGATGTTCAGTATGGGATTTTTTTTTTGTATGCGATTTTTATTATATTAAAATAGTTTTCTTTTTTAAAAAATATTTATTTTTTAGATGTAGTTGGACACAATACCTTTATTTTATTTATTTATTTTTATGTGATGCTGAGGATCGAACCCAGGACCTCGCTTGTGTGAGGCCAGCACTCTACCGCTGAGCCTCAACCCCAGCCCCTTAAAATAGTTTTCTTCAATTAATAGTTCTTGAGGATTATTATCATGAAAAGATGTCAAATTTTGTCAGTTTTTTTTTCTGAACCAACTGAGATGATCACATATATTTTGTCCTTCATTCTACTAGTGTGGTATATTACACTGATTGGTTTTTATATATTGATGTTGAACCATTCTTATATTCCAGAAATAAATTCCCATTGGATCATGGTATTTTTTATATGTTTCTTTATTCTATTTGCAAGAATTTTGTTAAGAACTTTTGTATCAATACTCATATGGAATATAGATCTGTAGTTTTCTTTCCATGTTGCATTCTTGTCTGGTTTTAGTATAAGGGTAATTGTAGTTTCTCAGTGAGTTAGGAAGTATTCCTTCCTCTTCATTTTTTTTTTTTTGAGAGTGGGAATTGGTTCTAGTTCTTAACTGCTTGTTATAATTCACTACTGATACAATTTTGTGGAAAAGCTATAGCTAATTCCATATACCCAGGACTCTGGATCCAAGATGTATAAATCATGGAGCTGAAAGGAACCTTAAAACATTTTTGTTCAATTGCTCCATCAATAATCCCACCTTCATAAGCATCTTGCCTATGACCACACAAACATTTAGTAGCAAAACTGTGGTTAAATCCTCAAATTCCTGACTCTCTTTAAATCATGCCAGTTTCCAGGAGAAGAAAAATATGTTTTATAGAATAAGTAATTGGTACAGAAGACGTTGCATACCCTCTTTCTGTTTTTTTTTTTCACCATCCCTATCAATTTTTTTAATCCACTTATCTTCATCTAAATTCATGAACAGATATATATGTTGTTAACTCACCAGGAGATTCTTAGGGTTCAGAGAGAGTCCAGGAACTAGGGAAGGAGGAACAGAGCAGTGGGGACTCAAATGCAGGACCACAGAAGCCCCTCTTCACCTTGTCTTCTCCTCCTGCTGCTATCATCAATAAAGAAGCAGATGTAGCACAATTGGCTGGTGATGCACTTCAGTGAGCTGCCTCTGACTCAAAACACAGTCTCTAAGATCTCACCAAGAGGTTGACATTAGGAGTCCAATCAAGTTGTCAAGACAAGGCAGTATCCTAGACACAGCAGAGAATATTTATGCAGAAAGAAAGTGTTAGCAAGGAGTTTTAAACTTTGTAGCCACTGCTCTTGAATACTGTAGACTGAGAAAAACACAAAGGTAACAGAAGTGTCTGCCAGAACAGACATTGGGAGGATAATAGACTGTTCTGGGACACGACTCCCGTGTGCATTTCTGCAGAGCCACAAGAATTATCTTAGATGGCAGCGTTATTGGACCATTGTGTTTTATCTCCAAATTGATGAACTTGGGTTCAGGGAAATACTGTCAACAGGTAGGCGTGGGTAGAAGTAAACATGGATATAAATGAGCTCATTGGAATTATAAAGTTAAAGGCAATCCAGACATCAAGGCTGTCTTGAAAGAGATATTGAAGGATGCTGTCACAATGAAAATAAAACTCCATTAACTTCAACCCTTTTCTTTCATGCTTAAGCATCATTTGTGCTGCTCAAAGCTACAAAATTCAATTCAATAAGAAAAAAGTTGTTATTTAAGAATGTATGTGATATACAGATTGAGTATCCCTGATCCAAAATGCTTAGGTCCAGAAAAAAAATGTTTCAAATTTCAGATAGTTGGTTTTTTTTTTTTTTTTTTTAGATTTTGAAATGTTTTCATATATATAATGAGATATCTTGAGGATGAGATCCAAGTCTAAACACAAAGTTCACTTATGCTGCATATACACCTAGCCTGAAGGAAATTTTATACGATATCTTTAGTGTACTTGTGTTTCAACTTCAGTCCATGATGTGAGGTCAGGTGTGGAATTTTCCACTTGCAGTGTCAGGTCAGTGATGAAAATGTTTGATTTTTGCAGCATTTTGTATTTTGAATTTTCATATAAGGGATGCTCATCCTGTATTCATCAGAATACTTTTTAAAAGAAAGTAAATAATCAGCTGTAAAAATCAAGTAACTTATTCAATAGACCAACTATACACCATGTAACAGTGCCCTTTAAGCTTTAAGTATACTTAAAGTGAATAATCCACAGGTGCCATGTTAAAATGAAGCTCTAATTCAAGAGATATGAGTCCTACTTAAGGTTCTGTTTTTGTTGTTGTTGTTGCTGTTATTTTTGTGATGCTAGAGATTGAACACAGGGCTTTGTCCATGCTAATCAGGTGTTATCCCACTGAGATACATACACCTCCTACCATTTTGTATTTCTAACAAGTTCCCAGGTGGTGCTGAGTTTGCTGGGTCTCAGCAGTACTTTGAGTGGTAAACTGTAGAGAGCATGGAAGAGATTAAGCTGTGCCTATCTCAAAATGCCTTAATACTGGATCCAACTTTGAGACTTAACACAGCTCAGGGAGATTGTCACTGAGTAGGGATCATTCTCATCATATAACACTAGAGACTGTTTATTTCACTGCATGTTTCTTGACTACCAGGTGCAAGAAAAGGGAGAAGTGTTGATATTGATTTTTTGGTCTTAAGGACTTTTCAGAACTGGAGGAGCAGTGTCCCATTGGGAGAGAAGAATGCAATAGGCATTGTAAGAAGAAAGCAAGAAGAGACAAGAGACCACAATAGCAAATGAAAAGGTTACTTCTGGTTGGACAAGAGCATACAACTTCATGAAGGAAATGGAATCTGAACAAACACAATCACATATGTTCTGCAAGATATTTACAGCTGATCTGGGTAAAGGGTGCTCAGTCAGAGAAATTAAGCTGAGCTTAAACGTTATTCTAGACTTACTGGCTGGCACATCCAGTAGATCACAAAGAATAGGAGGAACCCATTTTGGATAGCAAACCAGTGGCTTCTTTGTGGAAGGAGGAATACTGGAGAAGTTGAGTAATTGAACTAGAAATATTCCATCAAGCACATTGTGATGGCTTGAAAGATTATTTAGCACAGAGGTGATCCCCAAATGTGTGCTGTTTGGCATGTTACAGGCATTGGAAGGTCTCTATTCAAATAGTTTAATTAATGATTCTAGTTCTCAGACTGTGAATGTGCCTCCAGAGAGAGATACTTCAAAACATATAAACAGAGGTGATAGTCTGTTTTTGACCTTTCTTAAATTGTACACAGTGTCATATTAATAATACTCATTGTCTCTTAGTGCATGTACTAAAGTTTGAACTAGTCATTTGAAAATGTTCTTTCAGATTTTTCAATTAGTCCCAAAGGTGTCACCTGTACATCTTTTCATTTGGTCAGTCTTCAATTTTAGATTACTGTGTGTGCCACCAAATAAAGCAGTTAGAATTAAGAAAAGTCTTAAATCTTGTAGGAAGTCAGAACACCAGAAGTTCCCTAGATGAAATGCTTTCATGCATAACAGTTATTAACTTGCAAACAGAGAAAGCCTGGGGAAATTCATTTTTTATCTTTCCGAAAATTTTAAGCTCTAGTTTCTTTCCTCTTCGTCCTCCCTCTCTCTTTTTCCTTCTTCTTGCCTTTCTCCCTGCCCCGCTCCCACCCTCTTCTCTTGTTCTTTTTTTCAGATTTGCATGCCTAGAAAAATAGGAACACAATCTAGGGAGAAAACAGTTTGGAGTACTTCTTAATGGTATTGCAAATGTGTCGGTGTCTTACAAAATCAAGTAAATCAAAGCAGGGGAGTTTTTAGCGAGATCCCAGAGGCCATGCTGGGAACCCAGGAAGCATGTGTAAGTGTTGAGCTCATTTTAATATGCACACTAGAATGTACCAGTACACACATGCAAATGTGTCTCGTTGGGGGAATTTTGTACAGGTACAGTACTCATGGTATAGGTCTTCCTATCACTAATCTTCTAAATCCGCGTGGAACATTATTTTAAGCCCTTTCTTCCTTGGGTGTGTGATTTTCTGCTTGAATGAATAGCACTGTACCTGGGAATAGTCAATCCACATCACAGATTTGCAGTCTTATTTCCCTGTGGACAAGGGATATGCTAATGTGATTGAGTTTACCTGTGGGTTTCAGGATGTCTGTTAGCAATCGGAGGTTCTGTAGGGCTGCAGTGGATCCAGTTCTTGCAGTTTCCTTCATTTGGAAGCAGAGACTTTAGCGATGCAAGTAATCAATTTCAGGCTTACTCTGTCTGCCTGCCCTGAGAGAACCTTTTTAAAATTCACAGGAACAGGTAGGACTGCATATTTATCTCATTTTCACAGCCACTATGCTTACTGGTTGACTGGTACAATCTGAAACAATATGGGTCTGGATGATGAACTTTATGTTTGTTTCAAGTGAAATTTTTAGCTCATCTCTGTTTTCTCCTCTTCCAGGAGAAATGGGTCCCAAGAAGCAAGTGTGACCTGTGAGTCCAGCTCACCAGCCTGACGCCTAGCTGGGAAGGAAGAGGACCATGGATGGCATCATCGAGCAGAAGAGTGTGCTGGTGCACAGTAAGATCAGTGATGCTGGTAAGAGGAATGGATTGATTAACACCAGAAACTTCATGGCTGAGAGTAGAGATGGCCTGGTGTCTGTTTACCCAGCGCCCCAGTACCAGAGCCGCAGGGTGGTGGCCAGCACAGCACCAGCCAGCCTGGACAGCAGCAGAAATGAGCCTGTGCAGCAGCTGCTGGATCCCAACACCCTGCAGCAGTCGGTGGAGTCCCATTACCGTCCCAATATCATCCTCTACTCCGAAGGAGTGCTGCGCTCCTGGGGGGATGGCGTGGCTGCCGACTGCTGTGAGACCACCTTCATTGAGGACCGGTCACCCACCAAAGACAGCCTGGAGTACCCAGATGGGAAGTTCATTGACCTCTCAGCTGATGACATCAAAATCCACACCTTGTCCTACGATGTGGAGGAGGAAGAAGAATTACAGGAGCTGGAGGTCAGAGGATGTGCTTATGGGGGAACCTTCTGGAATGGAGCAGTGGGGTTTGGGGGGTACTAGTGAGTGTCCAGCAAAAGTTAAGGAATGAAACTCGCATACAGAAATGCAGGGAAATTGAAAGCATTCTTGGTGCTCTTTAACTCCTGAGTAATTATGAAGGATGGAAGGAATGGAGAAAGATGAGCTGGATAAAGAATCAAGGGGACATCAGCAGTCAATCTGGTCAGAGATGACCCAAAGTAAGCCACAGGGATGGGCAATAGACACCAGCACTAGTGGGTCGGCCGGGGATCCTGATGTTGAATGACTCATGAAGGATTAGGGAGAGAAGCCAGTGGCAAAAATGAGCAAGATGGTCCTAGAAACATACAAGGCTGGAGATGCATGTGTGGTGACAACTGGGGAAGTGCTTTTGCTGACACATGTGGTTCCCTTAACTTGGAATTTCAAAGTTTCTATTAAGGGATTATCAGGATTACTAAAATCTGCTGGAAGAAACAGAAATTGAAAAGGGAAGATGAATTGGATTATTAGACAAATCTTTTTTTTTTTTTTAATGCTGGAGTTTGAACTGAGGACTTTGCATATGTTAAGCAAGCACCCTACCACTGAGCTACATCCCCAACCCAAGGCAGATTATTTATTTAGTAGAGTAGGGAAGAATGAGAGCCTTTGAATCGCATGTGCTGAAGTGCACATATTAGACATGATGTGATAGGGCACAGTGGTTGAAGGTTGCAGGACATCTGTTCTTGCAAAAATGTGCTAGGTGGGAGGGTGAGAGCAGATATGCAAGGTTGTCAGCTAGAAGGCTATTGTCCAAGCTTGAGAAGTTACTCCACTGCAAGTAGGGTAATTTCCTAGGACATGAGTGGCAGGAAGGGATGGGGGTCACATTTTTGGTCAATTTGATGAGAAGCAAAGTGCAAATATTTACAGTTTGAATGTGGTCAAAAGGAAAATGTTGTTTGTTTTTGGCTAAGGTGGGCAAGAACATTTTGTAGATGGAGGTAGATGTTCATGGCAAAAAAAAATCAGAATTAGGGTTGCTTTCTGGGGAAGTAAAGGATGCACACCACTTACATGTGCAGGAGAGGTCAGCTTGCTGCTGGTCTGAGAGAGAAAAGACAGGTGGGAAGGGAAATCTACTGCAGTGCTCTGGACTGAAGAGAAAAGAAACGAAGGGTCCATTGTTGGTCCATGTTGGCCAAGGATCGATGCATCTAGGGGAGCTTCAAGGACATGAGGAGTTTAGAGATAGTTGAGAGTAATGACTGGGAGGTAGTTGAATGTTCTAGAAGAGACTTCTAAAGAAATTGCCAAGTTGCATTGATAGTCTCTCTGAAAATATGATCTGACCTCTGGCTCCATGACTTTCCCCAGCAGGGTGTGGCCATCTATCAGCAAGTGAGGCTCCTAGTAGGAGCCCTCTGCCTGTAAAATGAAGGGGAGGGAGAAAAAAATAAGGAGAAGGTCTGGATAGAATCAGCTCTACTGTGGTAGTCGGCTTTTCAATCCTGTGACCAAAATACCTGACCAGAACAACTTGGAGGAAAGTTCAGAGAATTCAGTCCATGGTTAGCTGGCTCCAAGGCAGAAACATGGTGGCAGAAGGATGTGGTGGAGGAAAGCTTCTCAGCTCATGGTAGCTGGAAAGGGGAAAGGGCAGGGGAAAAGAAAGACCCTTTAATGCATGCCCCCAGTGACATACTTCCTTCAACTGGGTTCCATCTCCGGTCCATTCATTGCCTAAAAGCACCACCTCTGAATCTTGCTGCATCAGGGACCATGCTTTCAGCACAGGAGCTTTCTGGTGACATCCAGATCCAAACTTTAGTACTCACCCACAGGGGGCCCCAGACGGGGTGGAGAGGCCAGTGAAACCATAAAGTAGGGTGAAGGAAAGGCCTAGGAGACCAGCAGAGTCAGGATCAGAGGCCCCAGATAAGTCCAGGTGCAGCTGGAGAGAGATGGCTGTAGTCAGGAGGGAATTCAGAAGTGGAGAGACAAAACTGGATGTTGGAACAATTCTCTGTAGGGAGTACAGACCTGACAGGCAAGCAGGAAGTCCGAGGACAGAGCTTAACCTGCTGATACCTGTAAAGTGGAGAAGAAGGGTCATGAAGTCAGCCAGAGCCTTGTGGAATTTGGGAGGGTGCATTGGCTTCTGCTCAAGAGCCTGTGTCAAGTGTCTGCTGTTTTCCAGGGTCTGAGGGTTTGGCTGAAAGCAGAAGTCTAAATGCTGTCTGGCCAGCATGAGTTCTGGAAAGCAGACACATCCAAGTGCAATTTGAACTTAGCACAGGAGTCCTGATGAAGGAATAACCTGTTGCCTCTGAATGCATCCCATCAAGAGGACAGGGCTCCAAACTCAGTGTGTGGAATGAGGGCATTTTAGAAAGGGCATCTATAACCCTGCATCTTGAGAACAAGTATAAGGAGGCTTGTAGGGTGATAGGGAGAATCCTAGCCCAAAGGGACATGGAAACCCTGAGACAGATTACGTAGGAGTCTGCAAGGCTCAGTAACTGGTTGGGAATACTGAGACCCTGGGATTGTGGTGAGCATGGGAGCAACATGCCCCAGAAGAAAGTGAGGTCCCACTGTTGAGGACCTTAGCCATTTCAGGGAGGCTGTATTTAGGCAGGTTAAAAACTTGGATGCCTATAAGACAGGACGGACAGATGAAGAGCTCAGAAGGAACCCTCAGGAGGAGTGGGCTGGGGACTGGAAAACCCATCTGGAACTGTTACTGTGATTGGCTCTAGCCTCATTCCTGTCACACCACATGGGCCATGCTGCTAGACAACCTTGGTAGACTCTTCAGAGTAACTAAGAGAATACTCCAAAGTTTCATTCACAAGACAACACAAAGCGAGCAGGACATACTTTGAAGGAATTGGGAACTGCAGACAGAGTGTCTTGACTTCACGATTGCCCATGAAGAATCATGAAAGAGTTTTAGGCAGGAGGGCTATCTTCTGATCTGTGTTTGGAGAAGGTGTTCTGGCTGCAGATTGGGACAAAGATACAGGAGAGATGGAGGGGAGATGGTGAAGTGCATGTGGATAGGACCAAATTGGATGCAGAAAGCTCTGCTGGGGTCCCTCCAGAAACAATTCTTTTAATAATATGACAGTGGGAATCTTTAGTCACAAAAATGCTGCCTACATTACATTAATATTTTTAGAATGGTCTTTACTTATGATAGTAAGATGGTGAGCTAGAGAGCTATTTGTCACTGTGACCAAAATGCCTGACAAAAACATCTTAGAGGAGAAAAAGGTTATTTTGGCTCATGGATTCAGAGGTTTTGTCCATGGTGAGCCCACTTTTTTTTTTTTGCTCTGGGCCCAAGATGGGACAGAACATCATGTAAGAAGTTTGTGGTGGAAGAGTGCTACTCCATTCATGGTGGCCAGTAAGTAGAAAGAGAAAGAAGGGACCACAGGAAAGATGAACCTTTTCAGGGCATGTCCCCAGTGATCCACCTCCTCCAGCCATTCCCCAGGTATGTTAGTGTTTTTGAATAATCAGTTCCCAACTGCAGGATGTGCCTGCAGTTTAAGGTTCAGAATAGTTACTATATTGAAAAAGTAAAAGAAATTGTTGAATGTCTCCATCATTCCATTCACTCATGTGGCTTTTATCCACCCCTTCATGCCGTACATCCATACACTTTCTTTAAATAACCACACTATGTCAAGGTCAGTAAGAGATGAACAGATAATCTGAATGTCTTTTTACTCCTCAGTCAACTTCCTTCCTGTTGCTTCATAAAGGACTGAACTCAAAAGAAGTCTATTCCTCCTTCTTAAACACTTGCAAAGGGTTTTGACTGACCTTGTGAATAAATACAACCAGTACTTAATTGCAATTTTTTGATTCATAGTATCTTTGAACCCATAGTTCCTGCAGTCTATTCCTGAGTCTATTTCATTGCAACAGTTTTTAACATAGTGACATCAGCCAGTTGATGTGGAGTTTAGAACTCTGCAAAGGTCTCCAGAGGAAATCTCTTACAATAGAACTTGGGAGGTGGTGTCAAGAGAGGCAGACTTGTCTATCCTGGTAGGTTCAGTGCTTTGACAGGTGGTGGAGATGTCTGGGGAAATGAGCTCTACCACATAACTGTGTTCCTCTGTTGCAACAACAGCAGTGATAAAACACCAGAAGCTATTTTTTTTAATAGGAATCTTGGTCAAAATAACAGCGCATACTCTATTAATACTTTTAGAGTGAGCTTTGATTATAATGGTAATATAAAGAATATTGTTTTTAATTCCTTGTCCATAAAAGTACTTCTTAATGACACTGAGGAAACAGCAAGTGATTTAAATTTGGGGCTGTTTCTTAGACACTTAGAGAAACTTCCTTTTGACATCCAAGGAATTCCACCAGACCAAAAAATGGCTCCCCACTGACTGAGGGGATGAGATCAAGACACGTTGTGACTATTGTCTTTTTTCTGATGCTGTGAAGTATTTTAGGGGATTGCCATAGTGGTTAACAAAGTCCTTTAGGAATTCCAAAATAACAAAGTTATTTTCCCAGAAACATTAATACAAGTGTAGGTAGCAATGGTGTTTTTTATTCCATTATTCCAGGCATGACACTTCTAATGACTGAATCAAATTGTTATAATTATGTGCAATAACTGTTCTGTGATATACCTTTTGTTCCATTCCATGAAATAATAAAGGGACATGTATCAGTTACTATCTACTGCATAACAAATCATCCCAAAACTTAGTGAGTTAAAACAACAAATATTTATTTAGCTCATGATTCTGAGTTAACAATTTGAGTTGGTCTTAGCTGATTCATTATTCTTCTGGTTCCACCTGGTTTCAGTCATTTGTCTGGAGTTAGCTGGACTTGCTGGGTATCTGTGTGTAAGAATGTTAATTGACTATTGGCTACAGTGACAGAAATGACTGGAACACATTTCTTTCATCATCCATCAGGATAGTCCAGACTTCATCATATGGCAGCCA